GGCCACTTCCTGTACACAGTCATGGTAGAACAGTATTCAAATAACCCTACATTCTAACACGCCCATATAGAATATATAAAATAAGTACATATAAAAATATGTAAACAATTACAAGGGCATAAAAGTGCCCAAAGCAAAACAGAATGCGACCGGTTTTATTGTACCGAATAATTGCTAGAAGTGTTGACAATGCATTGTACTCTTTGCAGGAGAAAACTCATGAATGCATTTTTTTTTACTCAAACTTGTAAGTGTACTTTAAAGAGTTCTCAACATGCAAAGGCCGGAGACGCCAAATCATTGCCAGAATGGTTTCCATACACAAGACACAGTCTGCCCCCCCCCCCAGCAAAAGGAAATCCTGTGTCTACATCGTTTATATACAGAAGGCTCATAAACCACATCGTGGTATGATGACAAAATGAGAGACCATCACAATGACACAATGACACCATCTGGACTTTGACTTTAAGTCCTGCCTGAGTAGAAAGCACAAACACCTGACAAATCCATAAAAATGGCACCCATGTGCCACCTTCAGCCACACAGTGACTGCACAAAATGCAGTGCTGACAGCAGGTAAACTGGATTGTTGAAGATCAGTAAAGAAAAACCTCCATGCCGCCATGTACGTGTAGCGAAGCATTAAATACTGGCAGCAAAAAGCAGAACATGAGAACACTATCAGAACCCGGGTCCATTTCCGCCATCTCCCACGGAACAGCGGGAGAGCGGGCATATGGTGCCCGGCGCCAACGTGGCAGGCCGTGGGCGAGCAGCCGGAAAGCCACAGCGGCCGTCCTGACGGGGCTTCGTAAGGTCATGGCGCCGCCTTGCAGGCAAAACCACAATGGGCCTGCAGAGAAACAACTTGCCCAAACAAGCCTCAACATGCCCCATCTAGCCCTCTGATGCAAATACATTTTTTAAAAAAAACTTTTGAAGGTGATACATTTAGCTTTCAGAATTTGGTTCAAGCCTTGCTTGCAGACCCTGAGAGACGGAACCGGCCCACGACGCCCCATCCCACCTGCCAACACACCCCTTGACTGGCTGGATGCTGGGGTTAGTAGGAAATGGAGGAATCCATCGCTGCACGTTTGCTTTCATCAGGCCGATCTTCATAGTCCATCTCGGCTGTCATCTCGGCCAGGGGAACGTAGGAGTACGTGGCCCGAAACCCAGCGGTTCCGGGCTTTCTGGACACTTGGATCACGTTACCCACAGCACTGGCCAGGAGCAACATACCCAGAACCACGGTGATGGTTAGCCAGGTCCTCCTGAAAGAAGCAGGAGACCATTATTCAGTTCCCCCCCCAGCAACCCCTCTGCCATATTCACTGCCCTCAGGGAGAAAAAAAAAAAAACACACCCGCAGAACAATGTGTTCACTGAAACCATGGCAACGCTCCTCCATATGTCACTTGCATAAGAAAGGGTCTGGAGTCCGTTTACAAACACCCGAGCGTGAGGAGCCTACGAAGTCCCCACAATGCTCTTGCACAGACTAACCTCACACGTCTGTACGCCTGTACGCCTCACACTGGTCAAAGTCCGATTACTACGTCATGAGACGTTTCTGTATTCAGGGTGTCATGCAGCTTTTTCCCCCCCCTGTAGCAGTTGGCGTCATCAACAACCATTGATTTTCTCCCTCCCCCCCTGCACATTTAATCACCTGCTGTCACATGACACCCAGCATATTATCCCGTCTAATGAACCTACTGCTACATTTATTTTGCACGAAGCACATTTTATTCGTATGTATATAATTTATACGTTTACTGTCCTTGCTTGTCCAGCACAACACCCCAAAGTAAATTCCTTGTACATTAAAGTACTTGGTGATATGATAAACAATACTGATTCTGATTTATGCGCCCAGAAAGGACCCACAAAGTACCATTAGCGATCCTAACTGGAGGGACGACGGAAACTTACTCTGTGAAGTACGGCGTGACCCTGTGGGCCTCAACCTCCTCTTGCCAAGTCTTCAGCAGCTCCCTGGCAAGGCAATGACTGGCTGAAAGGCGAGGTTAGGACAATGTAAAAAAAAACAAAACAAAAGGAGACAAGGGGCATCAATGCTGCAGGTATGGAAGAATACACACTCCGATGGAGACAGGCGCACACACACACACACACACACACACACACACAAAATCACATAACATTTTACAAGAAAAAATATCGCAGGGTTTAGAGAGACAGCACAGTGCACCATCTTTAAAAGGAAACTTTTAACACCCTCCCTCTTTCCACGGGGCCCCACATGCTCTTGGGGTCGGTGAGTCCAGTGATTCTATCAAGAATTACTGCTTTTTGTGACCAGGGAAGAGAAGCTTTGGTGAGGGGGGGCAGGTCCTGCATTTTACTGAAATAGAACTGACCCCCCCGGCATCGAGAGGCGAACACGGCGCGCTGAAGCTTTTAATAGCAGAAAAACAGGCGAACGGGGACGTGGTACGGAGTGAGGGCTCGGGTGGCAGACCTGAAATGAACGCACGGTGAGTCAGAGCTCGCCGATGAGTCACTGCGTGTGCGTTGCCAGCCCCGACACACAAAGAAAGATAATATCCCTGCACGTCTGACACAATGCGACATGCATGGCCCCGACATCCGAGCCAGGGAGCACGGAGCCCTGGGTCCGGCCCTTAAACTCACAGGAGTCCTCACAGCCGACTCCTGTAAACATGAGGAGGCCCGGCCCTTCCAGGGGCAACCTTGTGAAAACGACACCACACGTCCCCACCTGACCCAGGACATCCCTCGAAAGGGTTTCCAAAGGGGGGGGGGGGGGGGACTATCCAGCAGGTGGGAAACTGCTGCGCACAACATGCTGAAATCACTGCAGGGCAAAGGTGGTCGTGTCCACATCAACATCTGTCCACATCAACATCTGTCAAAGGCTCAGTGACCTATGACATTGTCTCAGAGTGCCAGCCAGGTAGGACATTAGCTAGCTGACAGGGCAGACGGGGGGGGGGGGGGGGGGGGGGGGGGGGGGCAGAATGGCCCATTAGATGACATGGTGGTGGTGGTGGTGGTGGGGGGGACAAATTAACAGCCTTGACTGGTCACAAAAGAGGGAAAAAGGATATTGAGGGGGTCTTTCACATGAATACAGACTTAAACACCCAAATTAATGCCTGTCAATGCAGGCACTGTAAATGCAGGGTACGGTTACCAGGCAACTTGCCAGAAAAACTGGATTTGTCAGTCCTGCAAATGACCAGTGAGGGGAGGGGGAGGCAACGGATGCAAGGGCTACCACTGGCAAGCGAGGACAGATGCAAGGGCTACCACTGGCTGCGAGGACAGATG